CCCCCCCCCCCCCCCCCCCCCCCCCAACACACACCATCGATCCTTTCGTCCATCCAACAGGCCCTGGAGAAGTACTGCGGCACGATGGAGGAGGCCAGGGCCATAATGGAAGAGACCGTCTTCACGTCTTACCGGCTGACGGCTCTGGCGTCGGGCAAGGGGTTCGTCATCGCGGGGCCGGGCATGCTTACCGCACTGCGGGTGAGTCGACCTGGGCAGGCAGACAGGCAGGCAGGCGCACAGAGGCCGCCTGATATCGGACCCTCTGTCTGTGTCTGTGTCCGGGTGCCCACAGGTGTGTGAAGACCCTTATGTTTTTGGTGCGTCGACCGAGCCCGTCACCCTGCGCACGCTAGAGATCCACTGGCAGGGGCACAAGGTGAGAGAGCCATCGGGGAACGGGGAGGAGAGAGACCTTCACAAGCACCAAACGAGTGTCTCTGCCTGGTCCAGGAGAGCCCTGTGACGACCAGCAAGGGCGACATCGACATTCGGCAGCAGTTCTTCACCTCATGCGCCACGCTCTACCATCCCACAGAGGTGAGAAAGGTGGCCACCACACCAAGACAGGCAGGCAGGCGCTCTCAGACACGCGCAGCCCTGTGTATGCGGTTATCAGCAGGAGAGGTCGCAGCTCGCCATCCCGCCTGCATCTCGCCTGCCACACCCCAAGCCCACCTCCAAGCACACGAGGGACTCACGCGAGACCAACACCAACACCGTCTTGCGCCAGCAGCACCACCCCGGCACGTCCATCCCACGGCACCCGAAGGCATCCGGATGGCGACCGCCTCGCGAGCCCTCAGGTGGCTACACACATGGGCGATCTCGAGTGGTGCAGACTCCGGGGAGTTTGCACTCTCTGTGTGTGTGTCAGGCGAGCGTGTTGGTTCTCGGCTGGTTAGCGGGCGGGAGTGTGAGGTCCGCGAGAGGAAGGAGGGCTGGCGAAAGGAGGCGAAGGTGTTTGAGGAGGGCGTCGAGCAGCTCTTGCTGGGCGAGGGCAGGTCGGTCGGTCACACGCACACAACACAACACAAGACACGCCTATTATCTATCCCCCTCTCCCCATTTGTGGACCTGTATGTGTGTTGTGTGTTGTGTGCAGGAGCAATCTCTACAGCTTCTCGTTCCAGTACATGCCAGCGCCTCACTCGCCCCTCAACCCCAAGCGCACCCCTGGCACCACCGGCACCACACGAGGCCGCCCGCCCTCGCCATCGCCCCCGCCCGCCTCGCGAGTGCTGCCCCGGAAGAAGCTGCAGCTGTTGTCCGTCGACTCAATGCCCGACTGGCACAAGACATTTATGCAAGCCCGTAAGTCCCTCCCGCTGATGAGAGGACCGCGGGACCCATGGCTCGTGTGTGTGTGTGTGTGTGTGTGTTGGCCAGCCGATGACGAGGAGCAGACGCGGTTCCATCTGGTGAAGGTGCGTGGGGTGGGCCCGGCGGCCGACCCTCTGGCGCCCAGCACGGAGCCCCTCTCCCTGCCAGCACACATATGCAGCATCTCACACAGGGCCGACATCGTCAGCCTCCCACCATTCTCATTCAAGGCACTCCCGCCCCCACCACCAGCACCCCCAGCACCCCCGGCAGCAGCAGCAGCAGCAGCTGCTGCTGGGGCGTCCAGCAGCAGCAACGGCAACAGCAGCAGTAGCAGGGGGGAGGGCGGGCGATGGCGTCGTCGTCTGTCGATGTCGACTGTGGTGCCCCAGTCGATGGAGACCATCGACTCGTGCTACTGGCCCGTCTACCCATCCGAGCGGAAGGAATTCCTGTAAGTAAACCGAAAGAGCGACCAGCAGAGAGAGGCGTGTGACTGGGTGTGTATGTGTGTGTGTGTGTGTTTGGGGGGATTGTCAGGTTCCACGAAGACGTGAATGTGTTGGCCGCGGAGCCGTGCCACGCTGCCCACTCGATGGTGCTATGGGTACGAGTGTTCAGGCAAACAGAGGACGAGACCATTTGATCTACACTCACTTTCCTCTGCGATGCGATGCAGGCTGCTGGTGGCCGGGGATTGGTGTATCACGTGCCGAGCCGCTGTGTGGTGTGCACGTTCATCAAGCCCGACCACACGGGCAGCACGGAGGGTCGTCGTAGTTAGACAGACACACGGATGCATAGACGAGAGAGAGAGAGAGCGCATGTGTGGTGGGGGGGG